CAATATCGTGGCACATGCTCAAGACATACTGAAACCCAAGGCATGAACGTTGGCAGCCAGGACAGTCAGTCGTCCGGCCATGCGATGAATGTAGTTTAGCTGCAGATATTTCAGCCTAGGTCGTTTGCAACAGACTTATTAGCATACCTTTTCGTAGCCGCGCCCCGTCATCGTTCCTATAATGTTATTTTTGCTTGCCAGCATGTACACCCATGGCAGCTGCGAAGCAACGATCGCGCCCTCTCGGATCGAATTGTTGAAGACACTATCACGGTACAGCGCGGCGAAAAGCAGCGTGCTGAAGTAGAGGATCAGGAGGAACGCCTTGCCGAAGGTCCAGGCGCCGGGGAATGGCAGGTGGTAACGAAGGACTTTGGCGACAAAGGGGAAACGCGAGCCGAGCGACCTGGCGTGTGGGATGCCCTTTCTGCCACTCTTCAATTGCGCGACACTTGGCTGATCGCGCGAGTTCCTGGCGGTGATGGATGAGCTGTCATCTCGAATAGTCGTCTTGTCTTGGTCTGCAGCCAAAAGTAAGACCCCATCTGGACAGCATACGTTATAACGACACTTACAGAGTATAATCCCTTTCCACCATTCAGAACGCGTCCTGAACCGAGTGACGGTCTGTGGCAGCAACACGATGGCGATGATGCAGACGCAGAGGAGGATAAAGATGTCGATCCACTTCACGACCGAGTTGTCCACCACATGGTCGTCCGACATCGACATCCTTCGCCAAAGTGCGTCGCGTCTGAAGAGGCTCGCCATAAATCGGTGTCGAGAGCGTGTTGGGTGTCTCGGCTTGGCCGTGCGGGTCGCGCGCTGGCTTTATGGGAGGCCCAGATGCGGCGAGTCAAAGGGGAGCTCGCGCAGCAGCCATCCGCCAGCTTCCGCCGCCTGATTGGTGTTCCCGACACCGCGCGGACAGGTTGGTCCCGCCATGTCACCGACCCGCGGCAATATTTGTCGCGCGCGGTGCTGCCCTGCTGCGCAGGATATTGCAGCCGCCACGACAGCAGCGACTTGACTGGTGGAATACCTCAGTATTTTGACGCCAAGTGAAGCGATAAGATAGGAGGACGAGTGATAGAGTGTCGGCAGTGACGCAGCTGATATCCGTACACCCGCTACCCGGTTCCGCGGTACTGTTTGGGGAAGAACTCCAACACGGTCGTACGACGTATACCCTGGATGATCGGTCGGTTTCGACAGCATATCGTCCAGTGCTAGACCAGAGTGGCGACGGCATTACTGAGGGTAAAGCATGAGGTTAATGAAAATGCTGCAACGATGTTCATTATGCCACAGATTTTTTCACCTGTTTCGCGTACGATTGCACTAAAATTAGCACGCAGTTGGCTTGCTTTGTAACCTTGACAATTTTAACTAGCGCATATTCATCTGAGCTACCATCGTGGACGATATCTTCCACGTTCAAACACAGTGGCCCTGGTGCTTTTGACCTGGTAAGCATTATTTGAACGCAGCCGGATCTACAGGAGAGCGAGAGCGTACTGATTTCAGCCCAGCCAAAGATGACTAGATTTCAACCACAGGAGTAGGGTCGCGGAAGGCTTGGTATGGACAACCCCAGGTCCCTTGGCGAGGATTAACCCTGTTATTTGTCCATGTTGTGACCGAGGGCCCTTACATAACAAGTGCAAACAAGGTTCAGCTAGGCGGCTAATTGCGGGCAGGGGTTTCTATTCACTCCTGCTCGGTGGGCGACCCTTAAGTGGCCCTTAATCCATTAGCCAGATACCTGGGCTAGTATTTATATTCCTTTCAAATTAGTTAGAAAAGCCCAGCGCATAGGTTTATGTTTCTTGCGGGTCCACCGACGGCACGGCTGCCCCCAATCACAAAAATCCAGCGAAGCTCCCTCCTAGATCTCCGCGCGGCCCTTGGCTACCTTGACTCGCTCTATAACCCTGAGGTCCGCCCAAACTTCCGCTCATACCGCAGGCTAGCAACCGGTCAATGTACATCTCCCTCCCTGACAAGTTGTCGCCGCGGAATTCCGGACGCCACGCAGGCCCCGCCGCCGCCCTCGCATCTCGACACGACGTGCGCTGACAGTTACGAACGCGCGTACGCAATTCGCTGGTTGACCGCGCTGGTATCGCGCGCGGACCAACTCGACGCTGATGATGCGAATGCCGAGGCGCTCGTCCAGGACGCGGCGGGCCTGCTCGCCCTCTGCGCAGGCACCGCATCCGCCGGGACCCGCTCCCGCCTGTTTGTCTTTGACCATGTCGGCGGCGTAGACGTCCGGGTCCAGCTGACGGACCTCCCGCTCAACAACCAAGACTACGCTTCGGTCGGCGCGCAGACATGGGGCGGTGCCTGCCTCATGGCGGACCTGCTCGTGCAGTCCCCGTCAGACTTCGGCATCAACATCGCCTCTGGAAGATCGCTCAGGGTCCTCGAACTTGGTGCCGGCACAGGTCTCGTGGGGCTGACAGTCGGAAAGATGCTCCAGGCACAGGGCGTGTCCGCCGAGATCGTCTGCACAGACTTCCACCCGGCGGTGCTCTCCAACCTGCGCAACAACGTCACCTCGAATTTCGTCGAAGGCGACTCCGCAGTCTCGATGTCCGTGCACGCCCTCGACTGGTCGACGTTCGCCGCCGCGTCCCCACCTCCTCTCCTCGCGCCGTTCGACCACCCGTTCGACGTCGTCCTCGGCGCCGACATCGTCTACGAGCTCGAGCACGCGCGCTGGATCCGGTCCTGCGTCG